GATAGATAGATAGATAGATAGATAGATAGATAGATAGATAGATAGATAGATAGATAGATAGATAGATAGATAGATAGATAGATAGATACTTTATTAAATTCACCAGCCTGATAGCAAAGGTGAAAACATAAAATAGTATAAAAAAAAAAAAAACTAGATAAAAAAAAATAATAATAATAATAATAAACTAAATCCTTCAAGAGGCATTAAACTGTCCAATGGCGAGAGGGGAAAAAATATCCTTTGTATCTTTCTCTTCTGCTTCTCCCAGAGATCTATGGCTGCTCTCCTGAGCTTTAGGGTCTCTCTATCCATTCGCTTCCCTTTCCTGGCAAATATCTTGAGCTTTTCCTTCAATATTTCAGCATGACCCTCTTTTCTCATGAATTAATCCTTTATGTGAAGAGCTACAAAACTCCCCCACGACATAATACTACCACTCCCGTACTTTGTTGTTCCGAGGTGTGATTTTGCAGCCACAGCAGAGTATTTTTCTCTGTCTTTTTTTAACGACTTATTTTCAGTTTAGCTTTTGGAATTGTCTTGTTATTGAAATGTGATGTAGGAAAAACCTGCTTTTACTGATCCTCAGGATTGCACATCCTGCCCAGTTGAGAAAACAATCATTTTTAATTCTACCAGACTACAGAATATCATGCTTTGCTCTAAAGCACATAGGGAGGAGAGGCAATGTAATTGAAGATTACGATATAATCAATATATTAAAATTGACAGTATTGAGGTAAATAGATCATTTTGTAGATTCGAATAACCTAAGAATATTTTGTCATTTCAAGCAAGACATCAGTGGCATTTTGCACAATTCTTAAGACACTTCTTTTTACTGAATAAAAGAATGTTGCTCAAATGCTTTTCAGTCAACACAACACTTATTTTTCAGGTTGTAAACAATAAACAGTGAGTCAACTTTTTGCAGAGGGCTCTTCATTAGAATAGAATAGAAAATTACTTATTGTCCCACAATGGGGAAATTGTGGTGTTACAGCAGCAGCAAAAGGTCATAGCAAAAGCAGCCACACAATCTGGACCTTAGAAAGTTCATGAAAATTACAGAATATGTGACAGTGTTAAGAAAAGAAACAAATAAAATACTGTACATTGTTTTTAATTACTGCTTTAACATGCTAAAAAATATTAAATTCAGTCATTTATTGATGGCTATAGTAAACAGAAGATAATCCTGGTAATAAAAGCAGCATGAAAACTTAAAATTTGCAAAAAAATCGTACTGACAGAACCTTTGGGTGAATCCCAGTTTTCTACCATCCCACCGTTCGGTGTGGGGTTTCATTGGGACTATTAAAAGATCGACAGCAATGTCCACAATTTAGACAGGAGAGACAGGTGGTTAGAAAGAGGACACGAAAAGAGCAGCACTTTACAAAAGAGGTGGCCTCAGATTTCAGATTTCTAACACCTACTCTGCTGCCCTAACACAACTCATCACTCCCAGCAGTTATATTCTCGCATTGGAACATGTGACCAAAGCATCTCACGCAGCCTCGTCAGTGACCTGTTTGGATCCTCTAGCAACGACACAAACAGTGAGATGAATAGAGGGAAGGGCCGGTTCACTGGAAGAAATTAAAATCTAGATGAGTCATTTTTTCCTAAAATAAGTGCATTTGTTCTTAGATTGAGGAGATAAAAGAGACATTTTGCCAATGGAACAAGACAATTTACACTTAAAATAAGAAAACACAATTGCATTGTCTTATTCCAAGTGCATATTATCTAATTATCTTATTTTAACCGAAAAAATACTCATTCCATTGGCAAACTATCTCATTTACCTGCTCAGATTAAGTATAAATACACTTCAATTAAGACATCTTTACTTATTTCTAGCTAATTTTTCCAGTGTGACTCGCTCCTTTAATGTCACTAATATTCCTACAGGTGAAATTAAGGATTTTTCCACCGTTTTCAGCTCTAATTTAAACAGATCAGGTTTTACTGATGCAAACATGCAGTTTTAACCCCAGCTGCTCAGCTGTCCATGTAGATTTCTTTGTATTGTTCATGGCGAGATATTTAACCATTACCAAGCTAAATTATTATGCAAATAATTGCATCTGCATTTTATTTCCTTTTTTTTTTATGTTGTCTCAAACAATATTTCTTTCAAACACTAAAAATTTTTTTTCTTAATTGTCCCAAAATGCACTGGAAAAACAATCTAGAAATAAGTAAAAATGTCTTAAATTAAGTGTATTTACCCTTAATTTGTGAAGGTAAATGAAATGAATTGCCAATGGAATGAGTATTTTGACTCTTAGAATAAGATATTTAGATAAAATGCACTTGAAATAAGACAATATAATTGCATTTTTTTTATTTTAAATGTAAATTGTCTTATTCCATTGGCAAAATGTCTCTTTAACCTTCTCAATTCAAGAACAAATGCACTTATTTTAAGAAGAAATGACTTATATAGATTTTGATTTTTTCCAGTGTGACGTTCTGCGGTTGAAGCAAAAATAAAACTGAGAGCCTCACCCTCCTCCCTGGAGAATAAATCATCCTTTCATCCAGGGCTGCTGTGCTCCCAGATAACAGGCTTTTTGACG